ATAATGAGACCTTGATTCGTTCCTTCGCGAGACTTCGCGTGGAAGCATGTATCATGATTGCGAGATTCGACAACAGCGTCCTCGGCTGTCTGAGACGAAGGGAAAAAGCGACGCGACGGCGAGATGCATTTCTTACGCGCGATGGCGACGGCAGGGCGGCGGAGGGGAAAGGGGGGAATGAGGTTTGACAGCGCGACAGACTGCAGTGTCCAATCAAAATCGTCGCGTCGGCAATTGTCATCCGAGGCGCGTCGTCGGTTAAATTCTGATAGCCAGATGGTGCGCGACAGCCACGCATAATTTACCGCGACACGTAGACGACTTCACCTGACAAATGTACTATGACAGCTCGTTGACAAACGAGTCGAATTAAACGGCGCTCTCGCTTTACTTTGAATCTCGATCTTGATAAGAACGAACGTGCTGGTTTTCTGCTTGCAGGTCAGTGCATGGAAGAGAACAGGGGCTTTGTTACACGATCGACGTACCTGATGATCGTCAGCCTGACGGCGGTCGTCGCGATATACAGGTGATTCTAATCGAACGGACGACGATCTCGCGACCGTTAAAACTCAACCGTTTGTAATCAGCGTTACTGGACACCGAGTGTAGGTGACAAGACGAGGTGGTACACGTGTATAAAACAAACAAAAAAAAAAAAAATATATATATATATATATAATCGCCTTTGGCGTAAAATACCGGACAGGATCGGTCGAACGCCCGGGCCCCCGATGGGAAACCGAGGAACCGAGGGGAAGAAAAGGCACAATCGATACTTTGGCTTCGAACGCTCGTGTCCGTAGCTCTTGCCAACCTCTCTGATCCGTCGGGAGAAATTCGTGCTCGCATGACCACCGGAATCTTGCGTCGCGGAACGGAATGAAACGGCGAAGACATCGGGACTTCGTCCCAGCTAAGAAGGATAGTCCCTGATCCGATGCGACGAGGAACGAAAAATAAATAAAGTCGTCCGTAATAAAGACGCATAAAGGCAAAACTCTGATTTCTTCCGTATGAGAGGTGCTCGTGCGGACCAGCAGGAAAATCAAGCAGATAGAGGAAAAGGGTGAAACATCGACGAGGGCAAGAAAGGAGAAAGGAAGGAAGAAAGGAAGGAAAGAGTATTATTCCTCGAAGAGAATTTTTTTTTCTCCACAAGGGAGAAAGGGGAAACCGCTTGTTCCTTCGAGAAGAGCGGCACTAGAAAAGAGAGAGAGAGAGAAAGAGAGGGGTTGTGAAAATCGAACGCGAATTTCCCCTGGCCAGTAGGTTTTTTTACCGATGTAGCTCATAGGCACTAGCTAATTAAAAATCGGGTAAAACTAACAAAGTAATTACACAAGTTTTTATGGTTAGACCATATCACAAGCGAGATCACGGCGCACGATCGATCGGATTCTCTGAGGCGGTGACGAACGACGAAAACGGGATCGATTGCCAGCCCGGAACGACATCGATGGCGAGAAAAGGGCGACATCGCGACGTTTTTAGTTAGTAAGACGATCGACCGGCAACCGGTCGTTATGTTTTAAGGTAGAAACTACACTAGAGAATAGCTTTAATAAGGCGCGAGGGGAACAGGTTTACTCGGCAAATATTTTTTACACCGGATTACTCCTTTCTTTCCACAATCCTGCAAAGTGCTGTAAGTGGATGTTGTGTATTTTATATCGCCAGCGTTCGAAGAAAAGAGTAGCGAATGCACAAAGGGAAAGCGGAATGCGCCTGTATCTCGAAACATCGAGGATCGTTGTTGTTGAAGTGCTATCGACTTTATAACCGTAGTAAATGTACCGTAATCGCGTCTCGAGGACAATTCGAAAATTCTAAATTGCAGAGAATGAGCCTGCTGTTTTCGAGTTTAATTTCACCGGATAGCACGGGAACGGAAGGATTCTTCGCCCGTCAACAAACTTTCGGCCAATCGAGAGAGCCCGCGGCGGGATTCAATTACCACACGAAATATTAGTAAGCGTATTAAAGGTTGATTGCACTGTAGCTGTTATGTAATAGCTACAAAGGGCTATTAGCCGTGTTATAGCCGAATGTATGCCGTAGCTATTACATAATAGTTATAATAGCCGCTAGCTGTATTAATAACCGACCGAGGGGGAAAAAAACATATTTCAAAGCT